AGACTATGTCTTCTCCGACTATATTTTATAAAAGGGATAGTAATCGATACTTATGTAGAATAATCGATTGTTTAATCTTTATATTTTATTGTTTAAAGAGTTTTTATTAAGAATAATAGATTGTGAGATTTTGATTTATAAAGCAAATAATTTTTTAGTTAATTAGGGGTTTGATTGAAATCACATGAATAAACAATTTATATGTGCGTTTATGTGCTTTAATATATTATCGATGCTTCATATTATTATTTTATGCACGCCTCATATGAATAAACCATACGTCATAATCAGAGCCGTGCTTAATGAAGAAAAAATAAGGCATTTGCTTTGGGTCTCTTTAATATTAAGCAAGTTTTAGGACCTCCAATTTTTTATATTTTTATTTAGTATATTGGTCAATATGTATTTTTGTGTTATTTTTTGTGGTTGAAAATTTATTATAAATTAAGAAAAAGCATTAATAATCTATAATATATTATAAATAATATTTAAATCTAATTTACAACTTATACTCCATTTTATAGATATTATAGCAAAATGAAGTATTTTTTTAGAAATAATTATAGCAAAATGGAAAAAAAAAATTTGTCATTTACCTTAGACCCACTGTTTATTTTATTATGCATAATTATATGGACCATGTGACAATTCAATTATAATATTATATAAGTTGGTTTTTGCATATTAGAATACCACCATGATTGAATATTAAAATCAAATCATAAGTATATGTGGTAGTAATTGTTTTTGACTTTTATAATCGAGTCTTGCTATCCAATAGACAAATTATGTTTTACTAAAAAGATTTATGCTTTATTATTTGATATGTTCGTCTAATTATTATGGAATAATGAAGATGAGATCGATTTGTTGTCACATATATTATATATATATATGGTTTAGCTTGGTTTAGCTGGTTTAGAGAATTGCTTGATTTAATGAATCAATTTGGTTTAGTAACATGTCTTACTGCTTCGTTATTGAATCATGTACATATGAGCTACCGAAGTCTGTTTGTTTGATTAAATCCATTTGGTCAATATTATCATGTTAAATTGGTTAGTTTAGAAGAGCATCGGTTTAAATTGGTATAGATAATCATTTGTTTAATCGAATAAATTGATGTTCTATTCTGGTTCGATAAATTATTAGTGTAACATGGTTTAATGAATCACTAGTTTGGTTAAAAAGGATCTCTGTTTTAAAATACTATGCTGTTAGGTTTTTACGTCCAATGTTAATTGGTTTAATTATTCGAATTCTAATAGAAAAATTTGTTGAGTGCATGACTTTGATAAATTTGAATTTTTCTTTAGGTCTGATGTTCGGTAAATTCTAAAAGTATTTGAATTTAGAGTGATTAAGCCCAATATTGCTGAGAAGCACCGTATTTGCGAAGATAACCATGGTCCCACCGTATATGCAGAATAGCAGGTGAAGAAGCAGAGGAAATTACCGCCGAAACCCTCAAACTCTTACCTGTTAAAAGTTATTAATATTATGGAAAGTATTAGTAGGGGCGTAATGATGGTTATAGAGAGGCTTAGCCGCGCAGTAACAGAGAAAAAATCTCTGGAGTATCGATGCGGTTCACCATGAACCACTCGTTTCTTTCCCGCTTGAATAGCGCATTAAATGCTGAGATACGTGCTAGATTACATTGACCCTTGCGCCATATCGCTGTATTCTCGTATGTATAGATAATCTAAGGTCGCTATATAATGTATTAGCAGTCCAGTCAGAGAAAACGTCATAGTTAGACCTGCAAACAGAGACAAAAAGAAAGAAATTTTTTTGTGCGATCTAACAAAAACAGTAAGTTCAGTTCGAGTGCAAGAAACAAGGTACATTTATTCCTACATTCATTGCTTATATATAGACTTAAATGCAGATAGAAAACGAACCTCGTACAGTAATTAATGAACGAATGCATTTATAGCTCATTTATGTTGAGATAAATTTGTCTGATTCGAGTTATACAACACTAAAACACATTTACTGTTTACATATTCCAGGTGAAGATGGGTTTAATGGTGAAGTATGTAAGAGGTGTGTGGAACAAATCTGCAGATAGTGACTGGGATTTTGAAGTGGAGACAACCGGAAGAGGGTACAGACTCCTGATGTCAGAGGGAGAAACCTTCGAGTCGCTTGATGGAATGATGAGAGCCCGGTACAGCCTCGGTCCAAACGACATGATGGCCATGACCTACCAGCCTCCTCCAAGCATCTGTGTAACTCCAGTGCGGAAGACTCCTCCTTTTGACATCATCAACAATGGCGATGTCCAACTCTTCATGGCTCTGCGAGTAGAGGTGGAGACCCTGGCCGTTTGTGTTACTGTGGGAGACGAAAATGTGGAGCGCTACCTTCGTAATCGACGCCCCACAGGTGATGTTACCGGACCGCCGCCTGGTTTTGGTCGTCCAACTCGGGAAATCTCTGGTAACCCTCTTGGTTACAGCGATAATTCATTTGATACCGTTGAACTTGCAAAGTATGATGATAAAACATGTGGTGGACTTGACGATGTTTACAATTTTTGGGAAGGCCTCTTAGAGAGACCAACAGTGCTGATTGCTGAGTGTGTATTCCATGAGATCTTTAATGAGGAAGAGCAGCGGTACATCATGGAGTTTCATAACGCCTACACACAGCGGGAGTCTCCTCATCAACCACCCATCGAAAACGATGACAGCTCATCCGGATCCTCGAGTGGAGAGTTCAACCAGTTGCATCGTGAAGAGGGAATAGAGAGTTCGGACATCGGAATCTTAAACGGTGACCCAATCTCAGCTCAGCCACCAACGCATGTAACTCGCGCAGTAGCCAACTTCTCCCTAAGGACTACAATGGGTGGAGGTAACAGACTATTTTAATCCATTACAATATGGATAACTTTGCCAGTAACCTCTAACTATAGTGTTGTATGAGGTACATCACGATTTAACGGCTAACTTGGTTGTTACAGTGATTGGAAGCTCGGCTCTATCTCCAAGTTCAACAAGCGGTGGCCAAAGCAACATCCCTACAACTGACGACAAGGGCAAATCTAAGATGTCGAATGATGCTGCTGGTAGTCCATTCCTCGGATTGACTATCGCATGCGCCGGGGAGGGTAGCGGCGTGCCGAATAAGCCGGTTCTGGTTTCAGATGATGACCTCTCTGACCACGACGGAGACTACATATGTGAGTGGAACGTGTATCACCAATTTCATTAATCACAGTCTAACATTAAAGTTATAGTGCTACTTTCTAAATTATCCTTTCCTCTTAGTTAATGGTGTGAACAAACCAGATCTGCTGTACGTGGGAATGGTGTTCGAAAACCAGAATGCTTACAAGCTACACATGTCACTGTACGCCATTGCGAAGAAATTCCACTACCACGACCGACGATCAACACCGAATCTTATGGTGTTAGAATGTGTGGGACAAAGCTGTCCATGGCGGGTTTATGCCGTGAAGATGCAGGGCATCTAATGGTTCCAGATAAGGAAGGCATCGTTGACACATAACTGCACGTTTGACGAGCGTGGCCAATACCACAGACAAGCCACAACAGCGGTCATTGGTGATATGGTAAGGAACAGATATGCCGGAGGTCTGGTTGGACCAAGACCTAACGAATTGTGGGATATGATGCGGGATGAACATGACCTCCCAATTTCTTACTGGAGGGCTTGGAGATCAAGAGAGATAGCAAGGGAAGGAAGTTTGGGGGCTGCTAAAACTTCAAAATTTCCTTCAACGCCTGGTTATCTCAAACCCTGGCAGTCTTGTGTCTTTGGAAACAGACAACGAAGTTGGCTTCGGGCAACAATTTAAATTTCTCTTCTTCGCTCTTGGAGCAAGTTTGAACGGGTTTCCATACATGCGAAAGGTTGTAGTTATAGATGGGGCACATCTGAAAGGGAAATATGGGGGTTGTTTGCTTACAGCTAGTTGTCAAGATGGTAACCACCAGCTGTACCCACTGGGGTTCGGAATCGTTGACGGAGAGAACGATAGGGCATGGACTTGGTTTTTCCAAAAGCTGGTGGAGGTGATACCAGATAACGAAGATTTGGTCTTCATCTCCGAAAGACATAACTCCATTTATGCAGCCCTGCGAAAGGTAAATGCGTTGCTTCTTCAATACTTTTATTACTCCGATAACTGGTATGTTTACTATCCATTAATAATGTTAACGACCAATATAGATATTGTTAGCATGTATTTGGGTGTGCTAGATCGGTAAAGTATTTGGAATACAATGCATTACACAACTACGATTTAAGTCTAAGTAGACCTGTTGCGAAAATATTTAGATTTAATACTCCACTAATTGATCTGTTTACTATCTAGCCATAATGTTAACGACTAATATAGATATGTTATCAGCTCTAACATATTTTGTATCCGTCTTCGAGGGGTATTAACTGATGTAAATTATTCCACAATGTAGGTTTACCCCAAGTCTTACCACTGTGCCTGCGTCGTACATCTCCAGCGGAATGTGCAGACAATTTTCAAGAAAAGACATCTAAGCTACATGGTCTTGAAGGCAGCCAGGGCTTTCGTCCCTTCTGAATTCTATGAGTATTTTGATGAGATTCGATCCATGGACGAGGGATGCACAAGTTACCTGACTTCTATCGGGTTTGAACACTGGGCGAGATCCTATTTCCCAAGTGTTCGTTACAACCTCATGACCAGTAATGTGGCTGAATCTTTAAAAAATGTCCTGTCAAGTGCCCGTGACTACCCCATCGTCCCTATGGTGGATTGCATCCGCGCTACACTGATGGGATGGTTTACCCGAACACGTTTAGCTGCTAACAATTGTGGTACAACCCTAACACCAAAGGTGGAGGACATCCTTGCGACCAACTTCGAAATGTCAACGGGATTCTCATTCCGTAGAGTTAATGAGGTCAAGTATGAGGTGAGGAACAAGGAAGGCGTCTCATTCCTGGTCAATCTCGAAACAAAGTGCTGCAGCTGCAACGAGTTCTAGATGCTACGCATCCCTTGCCCACACGCTGTCGTTGCCGCAATCCCTACGAGGACAAGGGTTGACACTTTGGTGGCTTCTAAGTACACCACCACGTTCTGGAGAAAGGCGTACGAGTGCAGCATATACCTGGTAACAGCACCGATCCCGACCGTTGCAGTTGGTGACGACTTTTCAGGACTGAATTTGCTTCCGCCTCGTACTAGGCGACCACCGGGGAGGCCGCGCAAGATACGTATCCGTTCCCGCGGAGAGTTTGAGGTACGTAGATAATTATCATTTAATTTTTATATTAGACTGCCAATACTTTGGTTATCTATTAAAAATAGTTGTATAATTTAATGAAGGGAACCCAGCCAAGCCTGTTCCGAGTTTGTGGTCGCTGTGGTGGATTCGGTCACAACCGCGCCACGTGCAAGATGCCTATTTAGGACGAGTGGGAAGAAGGGTCAAGGAGAGAAGCAGTGGAGTTGGTTTTTGGTCTGCTTCTTTGTTGATGGGGCCATCTGAATTAATAACTATTTTGTGTAATATTTTGTTAAGTTCTGGACCCCTTTAAGTACTCCTTCTAAGTTTGATGTAATATATTTCAGGGGATGTGGTTGGGTCCCCTCGTACTTGTTTCGTTCGGGATTTAATGAAACCATGTTTCCTTTGTTGGTTAATGAACAAATTCTACGTATGATTATTGTTAGCACGTACTTGGATTGTTAGATCGGTATTTTATTTGTTATACAATGCATTAAACATATAAACTAGTTAAGGCAGAGACCCAACAATGACGGAGAGAACGATAGGGCCTGGACTTGGTTTTTCCAAAAGCTGGTGGAGGTGATCCCTGATAACGAAGATTTGGTCTTCATCTCCGACAGACCTAACTCCATTTACGCATCCCTGCGAAAGGTAAATGCGTTGCTTCTTCAATGAATTTATTACTCCGCTAACTGGTATGTTTACTATCCATTAATAATGTTAACGACCAATATAGATATTGTTAGCATGTATTAGGGGGTGTTGGATCGGTAAAGTATTTGTAATACAATGCATTAAACAACTAAGATTTAAGTCTAAGTAGACCTGTTGCGAAAATATTTAGATTTGGTATTAAATTGGTTAGAAGTGTTAAGAATTTGTCTGGAAAATAGAAAATGCCACCGATACAGGTTCCCCACAAATTATTCGTTACCCTTATGGTAATAATTTAAACTTGCTAACATGTAGTTTAGATTTGCTAACAAATTAGTTAGTTCTTTTCGTAATCTGTTTAGACGTAATCAATAAAACTAAACAAATACTTGAAACAAATATCATGAAGAATCGAAAGATAACAGTTCAAACAACAACAGTAATGCAAGCAAATGTATAAATAAGATTATCAAACAACGACAATAACCCCAAATCACATGGGATTATTAACAAGTCCAGGAAATCATCAGAGTTCTTCAGAAAATTCCTCAAAGAATTTCACAGCGAATACCTGGCTCGCATTGACAAGTTCTTCTGGGATCATCAACTTGCATCTCTCCACACCCCCAATACAATGCAGCATTCCAAAAAGAGCAGCAGATACTCCAAAATCAGTACGTATGGGGTTCTGGGGAATGCCTTTGACTCTTTGTATCGAAAAGACTTTATACTCGATGGGACGTTTGTAACCCGTTAACCTTTTCAATACATACGGCAACATCTGTGCTAGAGATGTAAACTCTTTTTTAACGGCCATCTCCGTCCGAATTGATGTGTTACAGTCAATATTCAATATTGACCCCCCCCCAGGATGTCAACATAAACTGCTATCCAATGCTCCTTGTCCACATTGAAAGGCAAATACAATCTTTCTGGCGGCGGTTGTTCGGGTGTTTCTGGTTCCAGGTATTCCATGACAGCATCGCCAAATGAAAACTTTGGTCTGTCTTTGGGAGCAAGGTTTTTGAACTTCCCCCAGCATTTCATGAGATGAGCAACAAATTTCGTCTCCATAAACTCGGTCTTATTGTGACTTGGCTCGGGATAGAGTCTGTTATATACTGCACGGGCATAGAGTAACAGAGCATCCATCATCTGCAACCAATTGTCCGTGAGTTAACTATATGAAACACATTTTTAAAGCATGAACGTAAATCAGAATACAGATGACCATCCCCGAGTCTTACCTTTGCCAACATGTGTTTAGTCCTCTCTCCGATTTCAACCACGTCCTTAGCAGTTACGGATGATCCATCTCCGAGGCTGATCACACTGCAATCAAATCCAACAGTTAACAAAGCATCTCAAAACAACCTTGACCTTTACAGACTGTAACTTACCGAAGCGATTTTACTGTTGAAAGCAACTGTGCAAACTTCCCAAAATAAATCCTCTGCTGTTCGGGAGGACATAAAAATGGGTTCGATCCCATGGAGGATGCCAGAAGCCGAGTATCAACCTGGTAATCTGTAAAGGTCGTATTCTGGATCCTATGTCTCTTCCCCCTTTGTGGGGTCACATTGAAATCAGTAACGTCGTCAACGAAATCATTGTCACCATCGACATCACAGCAATTATCATGGTTATCTTCCCCACCCTGAAAGGGACAACAAGTTCTCAAGAGAGTGATACCAGCTAAACCCCGAGGAACAAATCTAAATGGGAAAGTAAACGCTAGCAATATATTTGGACTTCTAACATATATGTTACCCTGCTATCCTGTACTGTGGAGTTGTTGTAAAATTGCAATTTTGGTAACTTCGACTAGTACATGGGGGTAATAATATTGTTACCATGATATTCATAATGATACCGAGAAATGTCATTACCGGATTGGTCGGCAGAACGTTGTTGCTGTCACCAACCTCGGAACCAGACGTGTTAGTTCCTTTGCTAGCCATCGCCGTTCCCTCCAGAGATTTGGCTTCTGCAGTGCCGAGATCCTCGCCCTGTTGACCATCTCCCTATAACATTATATAGATATACAAATGCAGCCAGTTATAAGTTGGTGGTAAATAAAAGAAATTTGAAGTCCTATGGAAGGTTAATATTCACTAACCGATCCAGGAAGAGCATTCAGCATCCCGATAGCATCAGCAATCACAACATTTGGGTTCAAATCAGCGTTTAACCGGGGAATGGTGGCACTCAAAGCGCGGGAAGCTGTTTTTGCATTAGCATGATTTCCCCCTTGACCGCAATCTGACCTCTGCTTCTCAGCATATTGTTTCCCACTGACCGACAACGACTTATCCAAATAACCAAGAATGTTGGAAACAAACTCTTCCTGCATCTCTTTCTGTTTAACATCAAGACTTGTCTTCAAATTTTCTTGAAACCCAGAAACAACTTGGTCGAGAGCTGAAATTTTCAACAACGCCTCGGACAACGAACCCTGTATATCTGCGAGCTGTTCCTTAACAAGCAAACAAGAGTTATCCACGGGATGACTCGTACTGCCACCGCTGCCTTTGTCAGCAGCAGGCATCCCAGAAACAGACTCCATTAATTTCTCCTTCTCTTTCTTCTTGTTTATCTCCTTTCTCTCTGATCTCAACTTCACAAGTTCGGTTTGTGTCATCCCCCCTTGAACATTTCCTTCCTGAATTGAAAACCTTCCCCAATAAGTTGCACCACATAATCAACTTTGGGATCATCCTCGTCATCAGACCAATCAAAGTCCACGTTCTCCGTGCTGACATTGGGATCATCAGGAATAATACAAAAAACATCAGCCTGCACATATGATTAGCGGTTAACATCAAAGTTAGATATGTATTTAACTCGGTTACACATTAAACAAATCGTTAGATGTCAAACAACATTGTTAACGGATACTTACTTTGCATTCTTCATCTATCTCCCTCGCATGACCGGGACTGAGTCCATGTTTATGAACCTCCGATCTGGGATTTGTTTTGGGTGCAATCCGGTCTGTGTCCATCACTGTCTCCTGATCCAAATTGCCCTCAACGCCTCCTCCCGATTGAACAGCGTCGTCAGTGTCAACCTCTTCATCTTCACCATCTTCAGATTCCGATGAATCAGAAGATTCATTTACTTGGACAACCTCGGTCAACGCCGGAATAGCCTCCACCAGAATTAACTGAATTGCATGAAAAAAACCTTTAACTGCAACAGTACTTTGGGCAAGTGCAACCTCGTCTTTGGTTTTTATGCTAGCGATTGACATCTCAAACCCAAGTCTACCCCATGGATATAGAAAGAATTCATCCAGATCTCTGATTAACTCGACATGGTCAAAGACAATTTTGGACCGGTGATTCGTAGGACAGAGGACTGCGCCGGTTATAGCGAGACATGCGTACTTCAACCGAGTGGTTCGGTCGGCAACGATTCTCTTTTTCAGCATCTTGGTTGCCAAATCAACACTGCAAACTTTGAGGTTGCCAAACAAATCGGGCCAATACGGTTTTTCCTTAACCGGATTTCGTTTCTTCTTCTTCAATCTTTTGGGATACCTGCCGCAAGGAAGACCGGTGACGATTGCAAACTCGCGCAGCGAAACCCTAATAGGCCGACCAGAAACAAAATCCAAATCTCGTGCTTCTTGTTAACTTTGAGCAGTCTGGTGATAATGTAATGCCCGAAACTGCCGGATAACGATGGTTTTTCTGCCGTCGCGATGAGCTTCCCAAACGGCAAACTGCGTAAGTAATTCCTCTCACCTTCATCGAGAGCATCCATGATGTTACTGATGGTCTTTGCTTTATGGTAGGAGTTTACCCTCTCGCCGGTAGGTTCGTCGCCGGCGGCGAAAATTCTGGACGGTAGTTCTTGCATCGCCATTTTTTTAGATGAAGAAATGGTGGAGATTAGATCTGATTTATCGTATTAGCGACGGTTTTTAGGGAACTCAAACAAAAAGCAGTTTCTCTTTTTAATTTTCAAAAATCAAAAATGAATTATTACACTATCTCGTAGGGAGTCTTTTCCCTGTACTCTATAACCGCTATAATTAATAGAGTTATAGGGAGTTTTTTGTATTAGAGTAAAAGTGAACAGTGCCAAGAAAGCTATACTGTTATGCTTGCAAATACGGTGGTATTCTGCTTTATGGTATGCAAATTCTCTTGAATTTATTGACGATTGCTTGAATTTAATATCAAGAAAATATTATTCACCAAACTAATTTGACATAACAGTATAAATTTAGCATACATGATCTGATGAAACTGTGGTTAATTGTTTGAGAATGTTTGGTAAATAGAGATCCGCATATACTTTTATTTTGACAGACTCAGTTTTTATTTCTTTATATTTTGAGATTTTATCATGGTTAATTAAATATTAATTATATAAAAATGAATTTGTGATTGTAGACAAAAGTTTCTTGTTTTCTCAAATGGTTTAATTATTAATTTTTGTTGTGGCAATTTTCTTGTGATCTTTGAGCAAAACACCACCAGTTTGATCCACCAATTTTATCTTCCACCTCTGATTT